AAGAAAAAATGGGTGCTCGTTTGATCGGTATTATGCAAATACGCTTAATAAGAAACAGGTGAAAATGATTGATTGGGTAATAAATCAATTACTGACACCATCAACTACCATAAACGTGTATTCCCTTTACAATTGTGTCACTACAGGTTCCCGAAATCCTATTTTCAAAAGAGTTTGATTAATATTATAAACAAAACTAATTACAGTGCGTCGCAGAAAAAACGAAACCGAGAATTATCGATGTTTTATCATAACTTAGTCCCAATTATAATTAACAAATGACACATATTGGTAAAGCTTAGATCCTACTCTTTCTTTTAATGCTACTAGTTTAATGAAGAAGAAGGAGGGAAAGTGCCATTTTTTTTAAAACTCACCACCCCCACCCCCACCCCACCCTTGAGCACAACAAAATTATACAAAAATTGCTAGGGGAGGGGACTCGTCTTCTTGTTTTCCCACAAAAAAAGGTAAAACATAAATGTGTTTCACTTGTTTTGGGGCCAGGAGACCCTGGATCCGCCACAGTGACCGGGTGTGGGGTCAAACATAGAGAAAGAGACATATAAGTAGATTGACAAAGGAATGGGATATTGGACAGGAGATACGCTAGAGAAACTGAAATATGAATATTGATTTATGTCACATTAAAACATAACTAGGAAATGGGGACAGAGGTAGAGAAGATAGAGAGAGAGATAGAGAGGGGGCGGGGGAGGGGGGGGGTAAGGATAACGACTACAGTTTCCATACTCTTTATATTCATTCGGTACAGACAGCTTCTGGACATCGTAGTTTTTAAACAAAGCAAAACAAATCTTGAGCAATTTTTAAGCAACAAACTAGGAAAGATTATTCAGATCCTCCATTTACTTTAGACAGAACATGTCGGAAGGGGGCAGTAGGGTCAGTTTAGAGCGATCTTAGCGACTGAGAGAAAAAAAACACACGCTTCTCTGTCAATGTTACAGTAGTAAATTTTAATCAAAGTTACCTTTACACGCACATATAAATCACAACGAATTTCAAAACATCCACCCCCGGATTACCACTCCTGGGACAACTATCCTCTAGGACAAATACCCCCAGACAACTACCCCCTAGGACAACTACCCCTAGGATAATTTTCCGGGGGTAGTTGTCCTAGAATAAGGTTGTTGTAGAAGGTTGTTGTTTTGGGGTAGTTGTCCGGGTGGAAATTGTCCGGGGTAGTTGTCTCAGAGGGTATAGTCGTGCTAGAGGGTGGCTGCCCTAGAGGGTAGTTGTTCTAGAGGGTAGTTGAATGGGGGGCGTTATCCGGGGGTAGATGTCCAGTGGGTAGGCGTCCTAGAACCAGATTGAGCATATGCAAACCTCAGCAGATAGGGCTTTAAGCTAAATAAAGCTAGTGTTTTACTGTGAGGGGGTGGTGAAATTAATCGCACCTACCCTCCTTTTTTGGATTGAAACGCTAATAAGAAATTTTCAATATATTAAAATGCAAGTTGCGTAGCCACCGGGTGCACTAAATGTGCATTTTGAAAAGTTAGAATTAGATAAATTACATGTCAAAAAATGTTGTTTCGACTGCCGGGAACACCCCCTTACTGCACTTTCCTTACCGTATAGCGTGCATCTTTGATAGCAGTGTTTGTTTGCACTAGAGCGTAGAGACAAAGTGAGGAAGAACAAAATAATCGAATTGTAATTTTTAAAATACTTTTTTTAGCACTAATTTCCAATTGGATGAAGGAACAAAATGATTGTAATTTCATCATTTACAATTGCAAGCGAGACGAAGGAAAAAGAATCCTCCATTGTTTTTGTATAAAGATTAGCCATTATCCCTTATTTTGGGATCTATTCGATAGTGTATATGTAACGTAAAAGGACTACTGCAGCAATTGATTAGGGAATGAGCTTATATATTAGTGGCCGAGCGAGAAAATGTCGAATTTAGAATTAGAAAACTCATTAGGGGGATCAAAATCGTTTATCAGTACATGTAATTTGAACAAACTAACAATAAGTTAGATAATCTGATGTTGAAGTGTTATATTTTCCAATTAACAGTTATCTGTTATACTGCAGAACAATGGTATCGCAAAGGGGGCAAACACTGTTTAAATGGCCATTTACTAGGGGGAAATGCATAACCTCAATATTATCGCCTCTGGAAGACAGCGTGTCGGCAACATTCGCCGTATTTTGGATGTAAGGGAGCACAGTGTCCAATTAAAGACGAAATTAGGTTATGAAGGGTTGAAACTGCATTTTCGAGAACAAAAAATACGATAGGTTTACTTTGAAATTGTTTATTGTCTTGTGGGGAAAGAAATATTACTTTCGAGGAAGCATGGTGACCGAGTGAGGATCTTTTTTTTAAAAGTTTGCATGTTCTAGCGGGTACTTCAATTGTTTCAGTAGTGTATAACAAATACATTAATTTTATTTCAGTGTGAGGGAGTTGAATTCATTTAGGGAGGTGAATTTGATTACTATGCAATTTTTAAACATTAAAATGTGAATCATTAACACGTGAATAATTATAATTCTGAATCGTACCATTGTCTTCTTTTTGTTTTCTTTAGCCCGAAGGATTTTCCGTTTTTTCCTAATGTTATCGAGACGATAAAGAAGATAACACGTAAGTTTGATCGTAATCCATTATGATAGTTAGGACAATAATATAGACTAAAGACATGGAAATACGATTTTTAATTCGTAAATAATTAGTCTTTTGATACCTTATTTTCCTTCACTTGGGAGGCTTTTGTATAATGACAGTTAATCTCTTTTTGTGTACATATAATGAAGTTTGTTGGTCTTATTATCAGTGCAATTAAATTGGTAGGTATGTAACGATAATGACACCTACATACGAATACATTTTATAAGTTATGACTAGGACAAGGAACCTACGATGATCTACTATTATTCATGTCATATGCACTTTCTACAAGTAATATGACCATGATTGTAAGTATTTGTCTTAGTTTTCTATATTAATATTTCATATTACACTATTCCTACAAAACACGTAATCCGCCTCGTATTGAAATGATCGACGTTAATACTCTAACCATGGGCTTTTGTAAAATACATGAGGACAATCAAAAGCCAACGATGACAAAAAAGACACGATTTTACTTTCGTCGATCGCAGTCGTTATAATCTAACGATATCATAAACAATGCCATTAGGCTTTTGTATCCCGAATGTCCCAAGTCATTTCCCTACCATGAATGCTACATTTATTTTTCATTGTCACAGATGTAGATTTATATCTCCTGACTCGTTCGTTCGTGTCTCCTTAGATCAAGATTAAATCTTGATCTTCGGAGTAGTTGCTACAACCGGCCGTGTCAGACACGTTGCCCGGGGGTGCGAGATAGGACTCTTGTAGCGTGCCCCCATTTAAAACAATTATACAATAACAATTAACATTACATTTAATTAAAAGTATGAAACTATTTCAATTACTCTCATGTTACGGGAAAGATATTATTTATATATATATATATATATATATGTATTATGAATCAATTGATTTGGTCGATCCAGTTCGATGACACAAACACGGCACTACTGGACAGAGATCCTAATAATTACAGAGCTTGGTCTTGTTGCTCTCTTCGCCAGCAGTTTAAGGATATGGAATCCCGCGGCACATTACTCACAGGCCAAGCTTATACAGAGCCTATAACAAGTAATGTTGTGCATGTACCACCCACCCGATCGATCAAAAACTCGAAACTCAGAACTGAATGAAATTTAAAAATTTTTAAAAAAAACATGAAATGGTAACCATCTAAAATTTCATAATTGTGATAAATATCTATAAAGATTTATCAAGCAACAAAAATAAATAATATCATGTTAAAGAAAAGGATGTATACACTTTGTATTCTTGAGACTATGGTAACACCATCTGTCTAGAGGGCTCTGAAACAACTGGCCTCTGGGGTTGGAGCAACTCATTCTGCGTTGAGTATCAACCTCAAAATAAAATGTGCAGGTTCAAAACCCGCAAGTTGCAAAAGGTATATCCGACTGGACGGGGGCGTTGCATCATGGGAACATGCTACGGCTGCATCTGCACGTAGGCCACATGCTCGAACCATTCATAACCCCAATGCATGTGAGAGTATGACTAACGAACAATAGAGACATGCAGAGGACAATGCATTGTAACAAAAAACGATACAAAAAGCTTCTTTTTCTGCAGAAGAAAGATACTGTCTGCCAATACAATATGTGACCCAGAAAGGGATGCACAAGTTAACAGTAATTGAATAGTCGTACAAAGAATCTGTCAGACTGTTGCTTCTTTCCAAAAAAAGAAAAGAAAAAAAAGTGCTGAATCAACATGTCTGAGTTTCCTTTGCTGTAATAATTTTTTTTTTTTTAAATCCTCTAACAACATCCTCATTGGCATTTGCCAGTAATGTCGCTGCCCCCGCCCTAAAACTCAATGGGCAAAGTGTAGTACACAACAAAAAAATACTGCCCCTTTTATTTATTTTTTTGTAAAACTGTGGTCCTTCCTTTTATGAAACCCTGGACCCTCCACTACGCTATTACAAATTTTGGTTCTGATAAGACCTACACATGTACGAGTATGGAGAGATTGAGAGCTAAATATGGCTGATATTTGCATAACATTAAGATCACTAGCTAGCTCTGTAGGTGTAATGCTCGTTTCATCTTCTCTGTCTTCCTTTTATCCTGTATTGCCCCCTGCTTCTCTAATTCGATTTAGTCCATTCAATTAACAATTCAAATATGGCGGTATACTCATAATGATGCCACACAACCATTAAGGATAGTTTTATACAACACAAACAGAGATGAATGAAGCATTGCAGACAATCTCCATTATTTTATGTCAAAGTACACACCCCCCCCCCAAAAAAAAAAAGGAGATTAGGCGACGTATTGTGTAAAAAAGAAGTCAAAACATCATCATCACTTTGGACTTAATTTCTATATCACTCATTGCATATGTTTCGAATGGATAGGTTGCGTCCCTCTCTGTGCCATGCGCTCTACCGGGAGACGTGGAGCCATCGAAAAAGCGAAAACTGATTTGAATCATCTCGGGATCACTGATATTTACGAAGTAGATCTGGATGATCACATTCTCTCAGATGAGGATCAGTTGCAGTGGCTTGCCCTAATACATGGATGCCTTCAAGAAGGTGACAGAGCGTTAGCAATTAATGAACTGGAGAACGTATGCACGAATCCGTGTGAGTTGCTCTATGACGAAACCAAGAAAGAGGCAGAAGAACTAAACCAGACGATGTTTAAAGAAGTCCAAAACGTAAAACAGGAAAAGAGGTCACTACAGTACGAAATTAAGGGCATTGAACAGAAATATGAAGAATCCTTAGCAAGTCATGAAAGCCTTGTCAACGACAATGCAATACTTATGAGCGAGATGGTACGCGAAAAAGAAAAGCGAAAGCAAGTTGAAATGAATTTGAGTAGAAGTGAGAAAGTTGCAAAGCGCGATATGTCGATATACAAACAACTAGAGCTAGAGCTGAAGGAGAAACTTAAATCAAAAGAGCTGCGCATCAGAACATTGGAAGACAAATTACAGAATACAGAGGAGACGGCAAGACGTGACGTCGAGCGACTACATACCGAAACGGACGACGAAAGAGCGAGATCAGAGAAAGAGAGGCACTCCTTGGCAGCAGAAATGACGAAGAAACTCGAGTCTAAGCAACAACACGTAGACAATTTGACAGAAATCGTAGAGGAGAGAGAGCGAAATGAGACGACACGAAGACAGCAAGTTGAAGAGCTCAGAAAAGAAAGAGAGAGAGACAGAGTGCAATGTGAGAAGGACAAACGGTCAGGAGAATTAAGCTGGAAGAAGGAGCTGGATTATAATAAACAGCTTGAGCGTGAGAACTGGAAGCTGAGAACTAAAATTCAACTAGAAAGTGAGATACGATCAGCAGAGCGGAAGAAGAAAGCAGAGACACGTCAATGGAGTTTCATTCGCTGGGTGACTCCTGGAAAACAAATTCAGGACGGTGAGACCGTTTTGCATTATTTTTTAAAGAGTTTCTTCACTCTAGCATGTCAATTACTTGAGATTAAGTTTTTTTTTCTTTTCAGCCTTTAAAAAATATATTCAATACAATCTATCACTTTTATTCTATCTTATCATGAACACTGTTAAACTGTCTTTAACTGAAACAATTCTAAACATAGCCCGGGGAGTTGACAAAAAAACTTAATGTATTATTTGTAATACATTAATATTGTGTGATGTTACAATTCTATTATTTTAGTTTTAATTATAATTTAATCATAAATTTTTACTTTACTGTCAGAATACCACAGCCGATTTGGGAATATAAAATGTTCCTTTTGTATAACTTAATTAATTCAATCAAATCGATTCGTTTTACATTCATGACAGGAATAACTTCCTCTGAAGATTATTCAAGGGGAGAAGTCTGTTCATCAGAAGGGAGCAATGCATCAAAAGCTGAGTAAGTTGAAACTTTTGTAGTTAAACTTTTTGTTCGCTTTTCTGATAGCATGAAGTACTCTGAAATTCAGCAGTTGCCAATTTACTACACTAATTTCTAACAATAGTGCTTTTTAACCATTTCAGTCATTCATGGTATATTTTAGCTCAAAATTCGAAACATCAACTAAAATCACATTAAACATCACTTCTTCGTGTTTTTTTCCCCCCAACTCCCTTTTATTCTGTATTGTTCTTTATGATCTTTATGATTCTCTTCCTCTTCACTTTTTTCCTATCTTTCTTTCTTATTTTTGTTCTTCTTCTCCTTCTTCACCTTCTTCCACAACTTCTTCTTCTTTTTATCTTGTTCTTCTTATTATCCTCCTAAATCCTCCTCATTATTTCTCTTTTTCTTTTACCTTCCCCTCATAACTGTTTGATTCTTTTCCTTATTCTTCTCCTACTACTTCTTCGTCTACTTCTAATTTGTAGTTTTCTTTAATCTGTGTGTTACATCATATTATGCATCTGTCAATGTTGGGACATCCTTCTGCAAACGAAACCACGTATTGAACTTCATTTTTGTGTAGATATTTCTATCATAACATATTGTGGGTGGTTTCGCGTATTTATTTCATGACACGTTTATTAAATATAATTTATATACCTGTATATGCCAAAACAATAAGAAATGTGCCCTCTAATTTGTCTAATTTGTTCATACAATTCAGGGCGAAACTATCCAATGATGAGTTTGCATCCATCTTGAAGCAGATAGCCGATGATCTTTACGATGAGGCCAAAATCGATAGCTTCGGTAGTCAGTTAGGAATTATACAGGGTGACATAGCGAGAGCTCTCAAAACAAACATGAGATACGAACAGGTCACCAGTCGAGGAACCCATCTCATGCTGAAGCAATGGAGAAAAGGTGTGTCCCGAGAAGATGAACGGATTGAACTAAGGAGGGCGCTTGTGGCTGCAAAGTTGTTAGACCTTGCTGACCATTATTTTCCACAAGGTAAGGTCACCCTGAAATTGTTTTAATAAATTCATTCAATTCGTGATACTAATAAAAATCGGTAATGAATGTCTACTCTATGCCCCCTTTCTACATAACCAGAACCAAGGACAACGTATCGTTATTAAAGCAGTCATTATAATGATAATTCGCTGTTTTCATCTGCCTGGTAATGCCACTTGAAAAGTTTACATGTCGCATGATTATACAGGATATACAGGTTCATGTTTGTATGTGTGTCATTATGTCTTTTGTCAGATTGTTTTACCTCACTTTCATTTAATTTGATTTTGCAAGTTGATTTTCTTTTTCCGGGGGGGGGGGGGGTCCACTCAAAGGATAATTTCTATCATTTATTCTGTACCAGCTCGTGTTGAAGAGCACTCAGTGAAGCTAGTCTCTTGATATTTACTATCTCCAAAAAGCAGGAAGAGAAGCCGGACCAGAACACTCTCATAGAATAGAGGGTTCTCAAGAGCTATTCGGGATAGGTAGTATATCTGCAACGCTAGGGTCGTCAGAAAGACAAACCAAGACACGAGAGACTACTGCAGATACTGATCAACCTCGTGCACAGGACCAGTCAGGCAAGAACCACGGGGATGAGGCGAGTGAATGCATAGAACAACTTTCTGAAGAGGTATCAAACCACACCACTGATGGTGTACATGGCTCATCCGATGCTATGCTCTATGGTGAGAAACTTACCAACTGTACACTAAGAATTAAATAAAAGTTATCATTAGACAATACTGGATTAAGGATTATCAAATAGTATAAAGAAGATATGCCTTTCATTTAAATGATCGGTTTTCGACAGGAAACGCTTAAACAAGTTCCAACACATACATGTTATGATATCCTCAAAACGCGTTGGTATGGTAAGATCTGTGAATCTACTTTGACAAAGTTCATCATGAGGTGTGTGTGTCACATTTGTTGATATTAGCCCAAATTAGGGGGAAATAGAATAACATTTTAAGATTTGTATCAAATAACACCGATGTCAATATTTGTATTTTCTATCCCTAAAAAGAAGGAGGAGTAACTGGACTTAAACACCCTCACGGAGTAGTTGAAGTACAAGGGTCCTCTGGAGGACAAACAAAGACACAGAAGACTAGATCAACCAGTGATCAACCTCCTGAAGAGGACAAGTCCTTCAAGAACCACAGGGAGGAAGTGAGCGAAGGCATGGACCAGCATTCTAAAGGATCACCAACCAACAGTTTTGAAGATGATTTACAAGAAACGTGCGTAGATGTATCTTCTACCAAGGCGTCTGACGATGGATCTGACACATTGGATGAAAGGGATGTAGAATATGTCACCATTAACTACAGCGACCTGCTTTCTAATCTTGCCGTGACCGAGACATCTTCGGATAATCTATTGATTCTTTTCTTCCTGAAATTAATCATTGATGTTCCTCAAAAAGCATGTGGTTGATAAACCTGTACAGACACTCTATATTGTGACCGTATACATATTTTCTACCACTGTATACGTCTATGAAACTTGCTAATACCCAAATAACCTTAACAACACTTGGAAGTATATTGACAGGTCAATCACTGTGACTACATCGAGATATATTCTGCATCTTGCATAATAATGGCTATGGAACCATTAAGATTTCTATACAGTCTCAATTATCAAGAAAGTGTTTGATAGATTAACATGATTTGTGTTGTGGACACCAATAACGTATAGCCATGAAAGAAAACACAAATACATAACCATGTTTTACAAACTGAGAGTCAAATCTATAAATCGTAAGGTCAACATACTGTCCGAGCCCGTACGCCTGTGTCCTCACAATGACGGTGGCTCTGAAGTTCAAAGTGTTAGATATAAAGTTATGCAAAGGACTTCATCAAAGGAACGCCAAGAATTAAAATACTCCTAAGGATAATATATTTAAAAAACTGAATGTTCTTTGGCTTGATTATGTATATATAATTTAGCGTTAGACCTGCGAATATCAATGCCTATAATAAACAATGTGCATTATGTTTATCGTCTGTTATCAGCACATTTTGCATTAGCATAATCATTGCTTTGGACATTTATAAGTGGAATCTAATGTATAATTTCAATATAAAGGCATTGAATCAACACAACAGATGTCGAATTAAACAAAAGCAGTAATCAAATTTGGCAACCGCATCTCTAAGGAGTCTTCTTTTCAAATATAAGCCACGCACTACGTGTATATTCATGTCGTGGCCATGTGGTTTAAGGCGCTTGACTTGGAGATGCAAAGGTCGAGAGTTCGAATCCCGACACGGCACTAATATCCTTTGGCAAGATATTAACCTGCACTTGCTACTCTCCACCCAGGTGTTAAATGGGTACCCGGTAGGATGCGTCCGTCATTGTTGGTCAAACAGTTTTTGAGCGTCATGATGATGATGATGAACAGCATTTGTATGGCGCCATATATCTGTTTCAAAAAACATTCAAAGGCGCGAGCTCCTCCAATAAAATTAGCGTCATGTAACGCCTAGCTGAAATGCTCCCCAGGGAGTGGAGATTGTGCACACGTTGTGTGCGGGCAAGCACTAAATCCAATGACCGGGGTAATAGTATATTTGTAAAGCGATTAGAGACATTTGTATTAAGCGCTATATACATATTATTATTATTATTATTATTATTATTATTATTATTATTATTATTATTATTATTATTACAAAGTGAACTAACTCTATGTAGACAAAAAAACATAATATATTGAATATCAAACACTTTCTTTATGCTTAAGAATTTTATAGAAAAAAAGCTCTTAATACATTAAAGTTTCTCAATGTATATTGTTCTTACTGTTTTCCATTGTAAATATTTCTTTTATATCACATCGAGATATAAACATGTTAGAATGAATGCATTGAATATCAAATGATCGCTGTACGCTAAAAGAGTTTGCTTGAAAGGATCTCATGATACACGGAAGTTTCTCCATTTGTATTGGTTTAACTCTTTTCCGTTACATATTTTTCTTTTATATTACATTGTGATATGAATTTGGTATGTATATGTTTTACCGTAAAAAAATCTTTAGATGTCCAATTTGATTTAGTCTCCGAAGACAGATTGTATCACATGCATATATTAACCGCACCGATATGTTTGGGGAGAAACAGGTTGAAAACCATTATTTTCCCCATGTTTCGTTACAAATCATGGTTGTAGAAACGTAACTTAGTCCATGCATACTGTTACCGTGATTATATATTTCAATGCTTCTCACGTTATAAGTATGTTGTACGTTCCTAATTTTGTTGAGGACAATCTAAGAACCATATCAAGATCAAGAACGTTTTAGAATATAGTGACTGACGTGTAACCAAAGAACAAAACAATTCTCATAGGAGAATGCGTATAATGACTTACCTATATATCACTGGTATTGCAAACATAAATTATTTTAGTTACATACATTCTTTATCTTTGTAATGGATATTGGATGACAAGTATATGTTATACCTTTTACTATGTTACGTTAGTTGCGTTAGTCTATACATTTCAATGTTGTAACATTTAAAATCATGCTACATTTTACCAAAGCATATCTCAATTTGTACTTCTAACCAAAATCTTTACAAAATTAAAACAAAATGTACAATATATTTTTGCAATATGATCTAAGAAATTTAATGGAAAAAAATGAAGTACCTTTTAACGATATAACCAATCAAATTCTCGTTCTGATGTTTAAAATATCCCGTATGTGTTGACAGAGACTGTTGATTCTATGACAACCTCTGAACTGGCTTATTCAAATTCAACAAGTAAAGATATGTACAGGTTTTTAGTAAAACTTGGTAAAAACTGTTTAAGAATAAAGGCAAAATATTTTCATTATTCATGCAAAGGGGTTTGGTTATATTTCAGAGTTTAATATAATGGTAAGATAATGACTAAATGAAAGAAAGTATGAACAGAAAAGATAACCGAGAATACGAATATGCGATAAAGAAACTGACACAGAGGGATAGTATACGAAGAGAGAAAGAAAAAAGAAAGAGAGAGAGAGAGAGAGATAGAGAGAGGGATTAAGAAAGAACCTCAGAGGGGTCCCCCCACAATTTGTTTTTTAAATGGGACTTTTGAATGCCAACAAGTGAAATAACCTTATGACAATCACTTTTCACCTTATATAATTATTTGACAAGGCAAACAAAGAGAGACAACAACAAAATGGGTCGCTTTTCAACCCAATGTTCTCAACTACCCTTAAATCATCGACAATACCTCCTGCTGCTCATAAATGAAATAAATAAAAAAAAGACCATTCGTATTTGCACTGAACCTACTGTCTCTCAAGCTACAACTAGGCGTTGTGGCTTGCGCCTGTAATCCAGCTAAAAGTGGAAGTTACAAACTGATTCAGCCGAGGACGCAGGTTCGAAACCGAGTCACGTCTTTTGGATGGTGACGTTTAAAGATCGGTCACCAGACGTAAATAAAGAGATCTGATTTATACAAGTCTGTGAACACCCAATACACACACACACACACACACACACACACCACCACCACCACCATTCGTGAGAAGAAAGAGAGAGACAGAGAGAGAGAGTGTGTTTGAGGGATAGGACGTGATGATAGACACCAAAGAGGAAAAGATGAGAAAGAAGGATACGTAGAGATCAACTAACTTTTTGCACATATCAATTTATTTTGATGGATATTGATAATAAATGACAATTATGATACTGATTTAGGGTGTATTTAATGCCATACATTATAACAACTTTAAGATTAAACACTGGTGTCGATAGATGGCGCAGTGGAATTTGAATCCACCAAATTGCCCCTGATTGTCAAATACTTCATATCAAGTTAAGTTTAAATTCAACAAAGAATTGTAATGAAAACGTACAAGTTGTATTATTGCCAGTGGGGCACTTGTAGGAACGCTGCCCGTCCCTCATCAAGGGGGTATATGCCTTAGCCATATGAAGAGTATCAGATCCGCCCTATCTGAGGACGATTTCTACAAAGTATGGTTAGAACACAGCCATGGATTTCAAGAATATGTGAAATTGCAGTAATTATTAACACTCGGGGAAGCGGCCCCACTCCAAGCTCCCCTATTCGTGAAGCTTCCTCATCTGATCAATTTCAGGTGCCGTTGCCCGAAGGATGGCTCCCATCAAGCCGATTTGAAATACAACAATGAGGGATTAAACGATAGAGTAATTGCAGCGGCTATTTTTCTGTTAAAAATTGTTAAAATTGTTAAACTAGGCTATGTCTTTATTTTCTTCAGCATATGGTCTTGCCTATTGTGAGCTATCCTTGCACACACAACGCGACAAGGCTGACGAAATTCACAGTCCTATCTCCCACCATGCATGGCACCAGTGGCGGATCCAGGGGGGGGGGGCGCCCCCCCCCCCTGGGAAAAAAACCGTGTAAAAACACGTTAATTTAACCTTTTTTTTTGGGGGGGGGGTGCAAATTTTCTAATTTCCGAGGGCCAAACAAAAAATGTGCTCACAACCCCCCCCCCCCCCCCCCCTACTGAGCGAATTTTCGGCCGGCGCGATTTTCACATTTTCGGGAGCAAAAAGAAGAAAAAAATGGGTCCCCACCCCTAATAAATGCTGGATCCGCGCTTGCATGGCACACTCAACGTGTATACATTTTACAAATCGGTAAGCATAAGCAAAGTTATATATTTTAAAAGACGCTTAACAATTTAATGAATAGAAATAACACAACATTTTTAAATGAGAGTAATGCATGAAGATTTAGAAGACAATAAAACTATAAATTATAAAGTGTATGCATATGAAAATTGTAGGTTTACGCATTAGTGGATGCATATCATTTCGCATTAAATATATAATCATATAGTATTAAATTATTTCCCCTTTGGCGTGGCATATGAACCTGTCACCTTTTTGTGACAATGTACCTGATCATGCCTAACATCATTGAAAATGGATCAATGGAAATGTGAGGAGTTCCTCTTTACTTAGACGGTGTAAATAAACTGCCAAAGGCAATGTCCTTGAAATACCAACACTCTTAATTTGGATTTATTCTAATACACACTGTACATCCTTTCCTTTCCGAGCGTACTTCAGCTAGGTGTACCTTAGAGTAATGATAATAACAATCTGACTTGATATAGCGCTTACTACGAAATACCGTCTCTAAGTGCTTTACATATATTATTACCCCGGTCATCGGATTATTTCATTAACAATGTGCACCATCTCCAGTCCCTGAACGCATTCCTACCATTCGACATCATACCAGGTCCCCATTTATTTCCTGGTTATCGAGTGACAATTGGAAATTAATGCCTTGCCAAAGAAATGATGCCATTCAAAACAATTATGAGTATAAAGATTCTTTGTTTGAGTCATAGTTTATACAAAACGCTTGCAGACTTACAAAACATTAGTATTTACCCTTTTAGTTCATTATTC